ATTCTTCTAATAATTTAATTTTATCTGACTCATTTATATTGACAATTCAGACATACATTATGCATTTTAAAGTAGACGACTTTAAAATGATATTGCCAATATTGTTGAGTTGCGCTCCTGGGACGACTTTACTATAAGATAGTTCATTCGATTACATGAAATCAACTTTAACTTGAGAATATCCGTCAGAAAAAATCATAGCATGTAATTTGTCTTTAAAAAGACAAACACATGACATGATGACAGTAAAATTCTCCTGTTAGTGATTCCATAGTAAATTATGAGGGAAAAACCAGGAAAAAAACCTCATAATACTATCCCGACATTGTAAGTATTTGTTCGTGAATTTAGTTTACCTTCAATAAACATCAAAATTCTGATTTTATATGTTACGTTATTTAAAAAACATAAATGATGTATCCTCTATATGTTACTGACTTACTAATACTGGTATTTTCTTATTAATAACTTCCTCTTTCAATATTGGTAACCAGATCCTACTACATTCTGCCGAGGAATTTGCGACACAATTGGCCTCATTTAGCATAATTAGAGCCGCTTCTTTGATTTTTCTTTTTTTACCATCCGTTTCTTTTAGGACTATATTTGAATTATTCCATTGAACCCTATGTTCATTATCCCATGCGTATTAACTAAATTCACGAACAAATACTTACAATGTCGGGATAGTATTATGAGGTTTTTTTCCTGGTTTTTCCCTCATAATTTACTATGGAATCACTAACAGGAGAATTTTACTGTCATCATGTCATGTGTTTGTCTTTTTAAAGACAAATTACATGCTATGATTTTTTCTGACGGATATTCTCAAGTTAAAGTTGATTTCATGTAATCGAATGAACTATCTTATAGTAAAGTCGTCCAGGAGCGCAACTCAACAATATTGGCAATATCATTTTAAAGTCGTCTACTTTAAAATGCATAATGTATGTCTGAATTGTCAATATAAATGAGTCAGATAAAATTAAATTATTAGAAGAATTTTTTCACTATGTAACAAAAAACAAAATTTGTTTAATTTACTGTTTGTATTTTGAGAACGATTTCCGAATTGGAAATTGAAACGTCAATAAACGTATTTTTTATCTTTAATTGTGGCTTATTCCCAGTTATAAATAGTAATTAATTTACAATGCCACAAGAAAATAGCTTCAGAACAATAAAAAGATCGATTCTCGGCGTGACAAGAAAAGACAAAATTAGGAACCAAGACCTAAGGAAAAGAACAAGTATCACTGATGTCGTCGAACGTTTAGCCTAGATGAAATGGAATTGATCATGGAATTTTCTTTTGAGTTGTTTGCGATGGGCTTTGCGGTTTAAAACCTTTTCGTCATCTGGACTACCATCATAAGTGACACAAACTTTGCAAAGGTCTTTTTTTGGCTTGTGAAATTTTAGAAAAGTGACACATTCGTCATTTTGCTTTGTACAAATATGCCTTTAGTTATACCTATGCAAAACAAAAGCATCGAATATTCCATTTTTGTCAGTTTGCAGTATATTCGATATTTTGACCAAAACAAAAATTGTTTCAACAAAACAAAAGCTACAATTTCGATATTTTGCTACAAAAGTTGTATCACGTCCAATGCAAGGACAAGGTATCAAATCTGAAAAACCCGATTTTTTACAATCAATAGTTGGAAATGGTAGGGACGATGTAGAAACGTAACATTTTTCTGATCACGTATTGTTTAATAATATGTTTTATAACATCACGTCTTTGATATTAAACTAAATCCAACTTATTTTCAATCGAACATTTTAATATTCAAATTTAACATGAATACTAAAGAATCTGCGTGTTGCGTTGCTGTCAAGTCCTTTTAATATGTTTCTCCTGGACAGTTTTGCTAGCTGCATATACTAAATTTAGTATTGTATCGATCGATATATTAAAAAAAATCTCCCACGCAATAAATAATTATTAATGCTCTCAATTCAAATAAATCTAATACTTTATAATATTATATAATATAATATAATATAATTTAACCTGAATTAAGTACATAAAAATAACTTCAAATTTAATATATTGCAGATATTTCCAATTAAATTTTAATAATAATTGATTATTTTAATTAATATTATTTACACTAAATCCTTTGATATAATTATATAGTTAAACAATTTTATTGCTTAATTTAATATATATCTACTTGACGGTTTATTTCAATGGAAGCATTACAAACGATTAAGTGCATAACAATTTAGCAGTAATTAATTTAGACATGCAGGAATTGGAATAACGCTGATCATTATAAAAATATGTTTAAAAATTTAAGCAAAATTTTAACAGCAGGTAATATTATGACATACAGAATGTTAGAGTTCATTTACTAGAGAAAAACTCCGCACCAGCTCACTCAGCCTGGTTTACTGAATGACCAAATACTGGTAATCAGTGGATCTAAACAGTCCACACGTAGACAAAATCGACAGAGAAATAAATCAAGCGATAAGGATAATCTGTGGAACTATCAAATCAACTTTACTCTTCGGGATTCCGGTCCTGAGCAACATAATTCATTTCAGAAGACATAAATTTATAAACCTCTTTATGAACAACGTTTAGGTCAGAATTACAAAGATATCGAAACCTCTAAGCATCGAAATCGAGATGGCCTACCATGATCACTCGCCGATATTTTTAACTATGAGTGATACAGTGATGAAAAAAGAGTTTAATCCAGTATTGACTAATAAAAAAACTGACTGAGAGACCTTCAGAATAAACCTTGAACACAAAATTAATCTTGCTGTGCCATTGACAAACACGAGGCAATGAGATGACCAATAAGTTTTGATATAAAAATATCCAACAGGTAGCTTGGGAAAATACTACCACAATAACGTCTACAACAAAAGGAAACAAGTATCCAGAAGAAACCAGAGAAGTTATAATAGAAAAAAGAAAGTTAAAAAAAGGCAGCAATACAGTGCTCCATGAGACAAAACTAGTCTAAATAATGCTACACAAAAACTAAAAATGGAGATAGAGTTTTAGATAGAATAAAGTTTTTTAGTAACTGGTTGATTAGGCTAATTGTTCTGTAGTCTTCGCATATGTTTGCATTTAATTTTTTTTGGTATAGTTACGAAGGTCGACTTTAACCAGATTTGGGGAATATTTCCAGTTATATATATTTAGTTAAATATAGTCGTTATTGATTGTATTTCTTGTTCGTCCATAAGTTTAAGAAATTCTGTATAAAATTTGTCAGGTCCTACAGCTTTACCATCTTTAGTTTTTCTAATAACTGCTGTGACTTCTTCAATGGTAATAGTAGGTCCCATTATATGTCTTCAATGGCCATCTGCCTTTCATCTGCAAATGTTACTTCCACAGATTTCTTTCAAATGTCTAGTCTCTCTTCCACACTTAGTAGTGAATTACCTTGGTTGCCTGCCAAATATTCAACTCTTTTAGGCTTATATAAGCCTGCAGATTCTTTACCAAAATGCATATATGGGTGAAATAATTAATTCAGGTCTCAACTACAGCAGTGTGAAATGCTCTAAAACATTTTTTATGCATCAAGCTACTTGAAAATAACTACATATTATTATAATGTTAGTTTGTTTTTCATTATTTTTTTGTTGAGCTAAATCTGCGTCTTGTATAATTTTTTTGAACATCCGGTTAATACGGTCCTATATTTCTTAGCCAAATTTCGTCTGGAACCCCAAAGTTTCATGTTTTACCTTTACTGTAAAGTCACCTATGAGAGTTCTTACAAGGCGACGCCTAAAGTCCTTGTAGGAAGTATTCTTTTGATCATGAATTCTTATGTGCAGAATATCTGCATTATTTACACTTGCATCTAAAAGCAAGAAGGACAATTTCATCTACGATTTTGTATATTTCCTACTTATGGGTTATGATGCCCTAAAATGGTTAAAGTGATCAACAACTCCCATGTTTAGTGTAAAATCTGCAATAACTTTTAGGCACACTATATCTTTCTTTGTGCCATCTTTTTCTGTACGTTTTATTATGGTTACTTCATGTGATCGATTGGCAGTTGTAATTACCGTGACTTCCTTAGTATTCAATCACTTTATTGCTGTTATGGGGCCACTGCTTAAACAATAGAATTCATTCTTTCGAAGTTTTTAATTTTTAGTTTGCTTTCTTCTCATAAAATCCACCAACATTTGCGACTAGGTCTAACTGTACCTATAGCATATAGCTGTTTAGCATATAGATCTTCCAACAGTTTGCAACTTGTAAAAAAGTTATTAAAACAACCAAAGATTTGTGTGGTATATTTTGGCATAATTAAGTTACAGCCTTGTATCCCAAGCCATAATTTTCAATGCCTTCAGTTTTTCCAGTGTAGATAATAAACAAGTACTGATACCAGTATTAGCATCACACTTTGCCAAAATTTTATAACCATGCTGAACTGGCTTCTTCGGCATATACTGTTTAATAAAACTACGTCTTTTAAATTTTACCATACATCAATACAAAATCGACTTCAAGGATTGGTTTTTTCTTTGAAAATATAAATGGTCTTAGCTTATACAGTATGTCAAAGTTAGGTGAACCTCTCTCTGCAGCTGCTGCATTGTGTATTCATTTTTTAAAGCTGGTTATTATAAAAGCTTTGGTAATAAAAAGATTATTATAAAAAGGATCACTTGACGAATATAAATCTTTGTCTGGTAAAAGGTGCAGTCTTATTAAAATAAAAACACCTAGGACTGCCCTGAGTTCTTCTTGGGTAGTCTTTTTGTAAAGCTATTTTTCCCGAAATCGCGTGGAAGATAAATGTACCGGAACCTTAAAAATGTCTTATGAGGAAGTTTCTAATAAACTTAGCACATGGTTTGCTGGAAGCAAACTAAAACTTTACTCTAATAAAACGCAAAATTTGGTTGGTCTTATGCTAGTACATAATCATAAACATATTGCAAAATAATTTACTCCTTTTATTTCATTATGAACTAAAAATATTATACCAACTTACCCTGAGCAACGGTTTTCTTGGCTGCAAAGCTGTTAGCAGGCTTTTTAATTTCCTGATCTTCCGCTGCCTCGACATCCATATTACCCCCATCGTCAGCTTCCTCTTCTTGTTGTATTAACCTCTTTCTTCTTCTGCCATCAGTTTCATCGTCTTTGTCGTCAAGTGCCTCATCTTCATCTTTTTCCTCTTCTTGATCTTCGTCTTCTTCCGACTTTTTGGATCTACGTTTTGTTTTCTTTTTTGGTGTTTCATTGTCTGGTTCTTCTTCTTCCTCTTCTTGGTCTTCGTCTTCTTCCGACTTTAGTTTTGTCCTACGTTTTGTTTTCTTTTTGGGTGTTTCATTGTCTGGTTCTTCTTCTTCGTACTGATCTTGTGATGTAGTTTTAGTTCTAGATTTTGTTTTAGACACATCTTCATCTGCAAAGTACAAAAAAATATGAAAAGGACGAGAACAAATTATTAACCTGTTAAGTTTAAATTTGGTGTAAATTTCTTTGGTGTAAATTTCTATTTAACTAAATATATATAACTGGAAATACTCCCCAAATCTGGTTAAAGTCGACCTTCGTAACTATACCAAAAAAATTAAATGCAAACATATGCGAAGACTACAGAATAATTAGCCTAATGAACCACTTACTAAAAACGTTTTTAACAGTGATACATAACAGACTATATAAAAAATATGAAGAACAAGTGTCATGCAACTAGCGCCTGTTTAGTTTGGCTAATTTTATTTTGTGTCCACTAGGGTATTGCAAATAATATTCTATTCATAAAATTGGTAACGATGTTTCAAATTAATAACAAATAAATTATGATCGGCTTGGTGTACATTCGTACCCCGCGTGGGAATCTGTGTCATCTGTATTATCGGTGGCTTTGCAAATTACTACGCGCATGTCGCAACTCTAAGAACAGAACATCGAACGAAATGCGATGCTTACACGTATTTAGTTTAGTTTCCCTCTCGCGTCGTAGCGGTAATCATAGTATATTTTTACTTCAATTTTGTTATAGTGTAGTGTTGGCTTTTTGCATGCGCCATACTTTGAAAATATTAAAAGTATTATCTAAAGCCGAATAAGAGCGACTTATGTTTGCGGAATCTGACGATAAATTGGAAGATAATGTCATAGTGTTCTCTGAAGGCGAAGATGGCGATATGGAGCCAGAAATCATTGAAAATTTATCTGACGTCCCTGAAGCCAATACTGAAAATATTCAGCAAATTACAAACCAAGCAAACGTAAGAAAAGGGCCTGTCAATCCATCGTTTATATCTAAAGATGGTATGCATTGGTCAAAAATACCTTTTCCTCAGACACGAAGAATTGTAAAAAATATTTTGAAGAAACAAGCAGGTCTCACTACGTATAGTTCGAATTTTACCACTAGAATTGAAGCTTTTTCGTTGTTTTTCTCAGACGATCTTTTAGGAATCATAGTACTTAAAATAAATAATAAAGCCAAACAGGTAAATATCTTTATTTAATAATAACCATTTATCAGTTTGCATCTTACAATACAAATTATCAGATTCGAATTTTTTGTAATATGTTTCAGTTATTTTATTCTTATTGTTGATAGGTAATAGGACATAAACGGATTGTAATGTCATGGCTTATTTTTTTAGATAATAAACAAATGGAACGAGACAAATCCAAATAAACCAGCACGTACTTGGCAGCTAACTGATCATATAGAAGTTCGCGCTTATTTAGGACTTCTGCTTATTCAAGGAGCACTTCAAGCTACAAAAGAGCCCCAAAAAATGTTATGGTGTACCAATAAAAAATACGCTAGGCCTATTATTCCGGCAAGTATGTCACATAATAGATTTCAGTTACTTACAGCACTTATTCGTTTTGATGACTATTCTACCAGAGCTGAGCGTAAAGTGCATGATAAACTCGCACCTATTAAAGAGGGTTTCGATACTTTTGTGAAAAATTGTACTATGGCATATTCACCTGGACCGCATTTTACTATAGATGAACAACTAGTTTCATTCCGAGCTTTTCGTGTGTACATGAAAAGCAACCCTGATAAATATGGCTTAAAGATTTGGGCGATGGCAGACAGCGAAAATGCTTACAGTATAAATTTACAAGTTTGTCTTGGAAAAAAAGAATAACGCACCCGAAAAAAATCAAGGTAAAAGAGTTGTCCTTGATCTTATTGAGCCACTTGGCTCTGGGTATGATGTAACTACAGATAATTTTTTACAAGCTTGCCACTGACCGAAAAACTATCAAAAAAGGACTAATCCTATTTGGTAAGCCGTTTAGTAATCGTTTAAGCCTGTTCGAAAGATCATACCATGGTTTTTTATGTTACCAGCAAAGGGAAATCAGTTACTTTATTTTCCACTGAACATCATGATGATGCAGTTGCCGATGAAACATTAAATAACAAGCCAGATATTATACTGCACTATAATCATACAAAAGGTGCAGTAGATACCACAGATAAGATGGTTAAGCAATACTCTGCTCGTAGGATATGCAACCGATGGCCAATGGCAGTGTTTGGCCAAATATTGGATATTTCTGGCCTGAACACTTACATCTTATGGTGTATCATGTACCCGGATTAATTTAGAGAAAAAGATGATACACGTAATTTTTTACTAAATCTAGAAGCTTTAGTAAAAGAAAATATTACCAGGCGATATAATGGGGGAGAATGATAGAGTAAGACGTTGAAGCAGTACATGCAAGATGTCATTCCAGAGTTGGCGTTGGTGAAGATGTAAATGGAAGCAGCCTGTAAACAATCTTCAAGTGGACGTTGGTACTTATGAAGTCGAAATAAAGATCGTAAATCAAGGCAATTTTGTAAGCACTGTAAAAATTTTCTATGTGCAGAACACCATATCAAGGAAGTAATTTGAACCCGATGCCAAGAAACTTTAGACTAGTTTTTGGTCCTAAGATTTATTTTGTATTCCTACAATTAATTTTATTAAATGATGAAAATTATTTTTTTGTTCGATATACCCTTTGATGTAATAAAAATGTGGTAATTAAAATTTTTATTTCATTTTCTTATAATAAAAATTAAATATATGCATTTTGTTCTCTGGGGTACAAATGGACCTTACATGGGACTACACGTAATTTTACCAACGTGGGAAGACGAAGGTTAAGGGTTAGGTAACACACCAAAAAATAACAAATGTAACAACAGCACAAAAAAAATCATGTTTTATAAACAATAAAACTGACGCAAAAAACTAGGTCTGAATCTGTTGTTAATTTAAAATAAAATATTCCGTCCATCTTTAGTATTTGTAAATAAGTATAAGCAAATTTTATAAGGTTAAAATAACAATTATTGTAAGGTAAGAAAATAAGAGACTCGTTATTTTAATTGCGGATAAAATAAACAGTTCAATAAAGTATATATCAGATATCGATTTCAAATAAATTCCGTCTTTAGCCCGAAAAAGTTAAGCTATAACAAACGTTCACTAATGAACCTGTTGGTTTTCTATACAAAAAAAACAAGAAATTAAATTTTTCTCGAATTTTCATCGTGAAATATTTTTAACTGAATATGCATATTTCGACAAATTTTTTAATAAGATTTTAGTTAACCGAAAAATTTACTAATTTACTATGATTAATTGGGAGTTTCACAGTAGTTATATTGTCAGTAATAAACGAGTAAGAAAGGAAAGAGTAAGAAAAAATTTGTTACAAACAAAGTCCGTTGTATTTCATATAATATCTACTACTGTGACGTCAGCGTCGTCACAGTATAACCATCTATATACAAAGAAATACCCAACAATAATGTTTGCATTATTTTATTTATTTTGACTTTTATACTATTATTAAGGGTACGGAATTTTCGCAAATAAAAAACATGAATTTCGTATTTACTTTTTTTGCATTCGTCCTCGCAGGTGATAAAAAAACCTGTGGAAATGCAGTTAAACGACCTCTACTCGCAATGAAAGAAGGGATGATAACAAAAGAGATATATATTCATATATATATATATATATATATATATATATATATATATATATATATATATATATATATATATATATATATATATATATACAATCGATGCATTTTTATAATCACTTGCTGTCAAGAGGAATTTTTTAAGGTTGTGGAAGAAAGAGAAGCTCATTGTGATCGAAAAGGACATAAAGGAAAAAACAATAAAGATAAAACATGACGACAAAGGTATTTGAAATATTTTATGTAAGAGAATGCGAAGATAGTTTACGAAAGTAGTTAAACTATCCTAGCTATAGAATGGTGTTCGGTCGAACTGACCTGATCACTAAAGTGACTTGATAATGGGGGGGAGACATTACAAGTGTATCAAATATTAGTACCTTAGTAGCGTGTCTTCTGATTACGCATTGTTCTGCAATTCTTTCTCTTATGTGACATACATTACAATGAAGTGTGTAACTGAAGAAGCAAGAAAAATAAAAGAAATAAGAGAAAAGAACGAAATCCTAAAAGTTACTTAAACATTTTACCGTGATTTATATTCCTCGAACAAGAACCCAAACAACACTGCAAAGAAAGATCTTAACAGAAAAATAACGAATGTCAATTCAGAAATACTCCCTAACATAGAATCCCTCTAAATAAAACAAGCTGTGACAGAACTAAAGAACAGTAAGGCTCCGGGCCCAGATGAAATACTTGTAGAAATGTTGCAGGGGGGAGTGAAATTATTTTAAAAAAATTAAAAAATTTTTTTAACGAATATCTTTACAGATAAGAAGTCCCAGATGATTGAAATGAAAGTTTGACAATATTTCTCTTCAAAAAGGAAGACAGGGGAGATCTGAAGAACTATAGGTCAAACTCTCTGCTGTCCCAAATGTACACTGTTTACGAGAGTAGTAACTAACAGGTTAACGTCGGGACTTGATAGCTATCAAGTGGTAGAGCAGGCAAGATTCCGAAATGGTTACTGTACAACGGACTATCTTATTACAGTCAGAACGCTAATAGAGAAAGCCAATAAATATCACTTGAACTTATACATCGGCTTCGTTAAATATGAAAAGGTATTCAACTCCATAAAACTTTGGGCAATAGAAAGAGCTATGAACAACTGCAGGATAGACTCCCGATATAGACTGCTCATACATATTATTTACTAGAAAGCTAGAATAAAAATACAAATAGATGCGAAAACCAAAGCTATACCAATCAACAGAGGAGTTCGCCAGGGAGATGTTATCTCACCAAAGCTATTTACAATTGGACTGGAAGACGTGTTCAAAGACATTAACTGGGTAGATAAAGAAATAAATGTTAATGGAAGAATACTAAGTCATTTGAGATAGGCTGATGACATTGTAATATTCGCTACAAGTTTCGACAAACTACAGATTGAAATTTTTGCTCCAAAACCAGAGTAGCTCCTTTAAA